CCTGAACTTGCCTGAAAAGGTCTGTTGACGTAAATAAAGTTTCCGAAACCTCATTTAAAAAACACAAATGCTTTTTTCTTATTTCATTCAACAGTCTAGCTATGGATCCAAACCAAAAATGGTATGTCAATGTCAGGAAATAATAGGCCTAAAAAAGATAATAATAAAAAATATAAACTCATTTTTTATTTCTGCAGAAACAAAGTATTTTACTCAAGTACTGTATAGGTACAATTTGGGTGTAATTGTATACTCGTATTAATTTCCTGGTTCTTTATAATTTTCTACTTAAATACATCGCAGTGGTTAATATTGAACTTGTTACTTTAAGTAATCATACTCAAATTAATAATACAAAATGTATAATTAATCACGTATCATTACAGATTCACATAATTGATCCTTTGTGGAAATTCACAAGATACCGGACAGTATATGCAGTATAATAAACCTACATAGATAAATGCTGAATTAAATAAATACAAGTATGGAAATTGAAAATAAAATAAATAAATATATATAAACATATATAATTGCTAAAATGAATACTGAAATAAATACAATTATAAATAAATATATACAAATATGCAGGACAGAACATCAAATAAGTATAAACAAATATGTAAATTAATACAGAAATAAAACAATACATTTAGAACTAAATGTCTAAATGAATACATACAGAAATAAATGAATAAATACAGGAATAAATAAAAAAAGGAGAAATAAATGTTGAAATAAAAACAGAAATAGAAAAAATGAAATAAATAAACATAATAATAAACGTATGTGGAAATATAGGAGAAAGAAAAATGATATTACTGTAAATGAATGAATGCATAGCCTACATTTTGTTATTTAAACATAAAATAAACCACATTTAATACATGTAGAAAAATACCGGTATAGTTCAAGTGCTTTTTCCCCCTTTGATACTGTGATAGGATACTGTAGAGTTAGCAAACATTGTTACATTTTAATGCACGAAATGTAAAGGGAGGTTTTCCCACCGTCCACTATTCAAATCTGGCTGATTTACATGTCCTCTCGTATTACACAACCATAGATAGGACAATGATTCGTTGAGCAGCAGCTCACTCCCCCCCCTCCCGTCGACTGGGTAGTACACGTCAGCAGTGAATGAAGTTGTACCCAAGATGTATCACGTCCTATCATCCTCTTCCTGGTGTGAGCGTGTTGACACATTACACCTAATTTGGGTAAGTTAAATGGAGCTAACGCTACTTAGCTTCTACTTTAACGCCTACTTTAAAAACACAACATAACGCTTTGTTCTACTTTTCTACAGTTGATAAAAACAAGCGACTGCTCTGGCAAATGGCTCGGTTTTGAAGAGGAAATACAGTCATGCGAGAAGAAAAGCAGCCGTCATAAAACGTTTGACATTTAGTTAAAGACACGCATCGTTGGACAGTAATAATAAGAGTTTCTCCGCACGAGGAAAACTGTCGCGAGGACGTTTACAATGAAGGCGCTCGCGGTGAATCCAAGCCATTTCTGTTGAAGTCCAAAGTCTGTTTTTACTTTAAGAAAATGAGGTTTCGGCTGCTCAAAAAGAATCTGCTCGCGCTGCTGGGTGTTTCCTTTGTCGTTGTGACTCTGCTTATTTCAACACGTGTGTTATTAGTCAACGATAATGACACAACTGGACATAATAACGTCGAGCCGGGACACCAAGGAATGCATTCTGGTGACGCGGTAAAGTTTAACTTTGGCTCTCCTACAGAGTTGACTCAGTCCGTTTACAGTGCCAATTACAAGCAGTGTGTTCACAACGCGGATAAGTTTCCAGGGGAGCCTCTGCTGGTGCTGGTAGTTCAGGTCCACAACAGGCCTGAATACCTCAGACTGTTCATCAAGTCACTGGAGAAAGCTGCTGAGGTCCACAGCTTCCTCCTTATTTTTAGCCATGACTACTTTTCAGAGGAAATAAACGCCATTGTGCAAGGGATAACTTTCTGCAAAGTACTGCAGATTTATTTCCCCTTCAGCACTCAGCTGTATCCCAGCGAGTTTCCTGGGAAGGATCCAAGGGACTGCCCTCGAGACATATCCAAGGACAACGCTCGCAAAACAGGATGCCTCAACGCAGAACACCCTGACTCCTATGGACACTACAGGGAGGCCTTCATCACTCAGACTAAACACCACTGGTGGTGGAAACTGCACTTCGTGTGGGAGCGAGTGCCGGCCCTGCAGGGCTACAGCGGCTTTGTGATCTTCCTGGAGGAGGATAACTACATCCTACCTGACTTTTTCCACTACTATAAATCAATGGTGGAATTCAGGAAAAGCAGCTGCCCCGATTGTGACATGCTAGCCTTGGGTAACCACAATGGCCTCACTGATTTCAACAGACTGTCCAATAATGTGTTGACCACTGGGTGGATGTCCACTAAACACAACATAGGCATGGCCATCTCCAGAGATGTGTACTACAAACTGATGGGCTGCCACGAGGAATTCTGCACCTACGACGACTACAACTGGGACTGGACTCTGCAGCACCTCTCGGGAACCTGCATATCAAAGCCCATTAAGGTGCTGGTGGCACAGGGCTCCAGGGTCCTCCACACAGGAGACTGTGGCCTTCACCAGAAGGAGAACTGCAGGCCAGAATGGGCCACACAGAAGGTGGAGGAGAGCCTTAAAACGGCCAAGGAGGCTCTCTTTCCTCAATCTCTCATCCTTCAGGGTGCAGAGGCAGTAGAGCACAAGACACACATGAAGAACGGAGGATGGGGAGACGTTCGGGACCATATTCTATGCAAGAACTACGCCAAACGTCTTTGAACTGTAACTTTTCTTGGGTAAAATGTTAGTTGGTATTCTGCAGACGTGCCATTAATACATAACTTTTCAGGGTTTCGGAGGCTGCACTGGGTTATGTTTTCACTTGGAGTGTTCTCTATTTACAGCAAGGTCTTTCAAGGAAATTGGACTAAATCAAGTCCAAAAATGCTGCATGTACACAGCTAGCTTTAACTCTTTTTATAATCACCAAAGCTGCACAGTTGCCAAAGATTTTGTTGATATTTGTGTTGTTTTAAATGCAAGCTCGACTCAATTTCATTTCACCAGGCTTGTTTTATTCTGGGTGCCTTACAATCCAAAACATTAGATTTATTGCACAGTGCTGGGCATATCTATATCAGAACTTATTTGCTACTGTGTTGCATTCATGAACCATTTAGAAGCATTTTACATGTGCCTTTACGGTACGGGTTTTAAGTGCGACGTGTAATGTACTGTACAGACTTAATCAAATGTGTATGACAATCTTACATATGATCGAGAACTCGTTTATACAACTGTCTTCTTAAAGTTAAATGAGAACATTATTTCATGTACATAATGGTATCTGTGTTACTGAATGTAACCTTCACTTTAATCAGGGGGCTTTTTTTTTAGGAGAGGTCAGCTGACACCACTTACTTACTCAGTCTCCCACTCCCCACTGCATTGACCCCTGGCTACAAAAAGAGAGCTAGATTTAAATTGATTTTTTTCTTTCTTCTGTTGTGACTGTATATTTGCTTTCTGATAGGTGAAAGCGACCTTTTGGAGTCTTGTTCAAGGTCTGTCTTCCTGAAAACACGAGTCATCTGGGATTCAGCATTTCTATATTTGCACCTTTGTTAGAGTTTATTTCGGGATCCTTGCATTGGGACCTTATAACAAGGTGTTGCTGTTCCTTTTCATTCAGCTGTTAGGGACATTTAAAAAACACATTCACACTAAAGTAACCTTTCTTTACAGTAGAAAACTGAGAGAATTAACTAAATATATTGATGCTATTATAGCCTTAAAGCTGACCAAAAGTGCCTTTGATTGTTACTTTGTGCCTAAACTCGTTTTAAAAGAGATTTTTAATGGTGCACTGCTAACATTGTTGTTCACATTATGCGCCTGTCAGTATAGGGACTTGTAGTTCACCTCATAAATATATATATTTTTGGTATTGTTTTTCTTCATGAGGTGTTGAGGGAAAAGTGAATGGTAATGTCACCAAAATCTTCATTGTAAAATTATGTTAAATAATTGCATCGCTTTGCCCTTTTGCTCGCAAAAGGTGACAGTGGCTCCACTCAGAGTGGTTTAATCTGATATTGGTGCATGTCAGCGTCCCTAATGGAGATTCCTGGTCAATTAATATGAAGTGAATGTGATAATGAAATAGATAAATCTTATGTTATGTTGAAAAGCACAATGCATTCTTAAGGAACATGTCAAAGATAGCCTTATCCACAAAGATGTACTATGTAAAAGTGACTTGTATGTTTGTATGTATGTGGGATGTGTAATGATTATTTAGTTTGTTGAGTGAGTTTTTTTTGCTTCTTTTCTTTTCTTTCTGATTATCACTTGAAATAGCTGTTTGTGGTTCACCTAATGTTTGCCAAATGGGGAAAAAAAATAAAAGGCAGAATTTTCAATGAGCTTTGCCATTGTCTCTTCATGGAAACATATGCACACTTTATTTTAAAGCCCACCTTTTTTGAAATATTATACCTTTAATGAAACAGATAATTATTGTGGACGTTTGTTTGCGATTTGTATACTTTCACTAGATTCCAGTTGCAACCTGGAGATTTAAGATATTGAAAATAAAGTGATATTGGTTCACAAACAAAACAGAATATGGATGTAAATGTTATAACTCATCCATTTTTAGCAGTCACTCAACAGAACGGCTGCATATTTAACACAACAAACTCAACCTAAATAACTAACACCTTTTAATTAGTAGTAAAATAGCTATCTACAGGAATTATTTGAGGACATAATGAGGAAATTACTGGAAATAAAAGCATTTAACGTGTTATAACTATTCACAGACTAAGGTTGTGATCTGATAGTTGACACATTAGTCATGTAAGGAGGTTTGTTCTACTAATCCTGAACAACAGAGAAGCTGATCTGACTTCTGTGGTATTTTCCGAACACACCTCACATGACTAAACCGCGGGATTCGATTGGTCAGCGTCTACGCCGTGTTTATTTCCGGAAGTAAATTGTTGTCAGTGTCAGACTTTCCACTAGGATTATCAAATCTCACATTTACAGCACCAGAACGTCAGGTAAGCAGCGAAACGGATACTTTATTTGACCGAATACAGTTCATTAATTTAACCGTATAATAAGTCAGTTGTCACATCGATTCAGTTATTAATTTGTACATTTCCAGATGTAGCCACTGCCAGCCGTTAGCTGTTGCTCTCCGTAGCTTATGTAATGGACTTTTTTTCTACACATAATTGTTGAAAACACGATTTATAATAGCCCCAAGTAACCACAGAGGGTTAGAATCAATTTGTTAAACTTGGGAAGGGGGGATATAGCCTCGTGAGGGTGCTAACACGGCCCAGCGAGTCGTAGCGACGGTAAAATGACGTTAGCTAAGATGACACATGAGCTAGCTAATGCTGCCCACTTAAACACCAGTCTATAATATGTAAATTATTTGTTAGGCCATTTATTTTACGGTATAAAACGTGTATTAATACCAGAAATACAACACATTCATTAACTGTTTGTCACCCTGTATTTTTCAAGGTGTGTCCTCATCCACAGGATGGCACATTGGTTTCACAGGAACCCCCTGAAGGCAACAGCGCCTGTGTCCTTTAATTTCTATGGAGTGGCAGGAAGCCCCTCTGCCAATAAGATATGCAAGTACGTCTTATCTCTATCTATTATACTGGTTAAGGTGTTATGAAGTTGGACTGACTGTGACCATGAACACTGACTGAATTGTTTTTGTCTATCCTCTCTTATGACGATGTAATGACCTATGTTGTGCTCCTGTTACTGTCATTTGATAACATGTTTGCCTTAAAGGGTGCAAAAGGTGTTGGATATAATCACTCATAATACAGGAATGATCATGATTTTTAGAGCATCAATTGAATGCCATTTATTTGACACACACAGTGACCTGCGGACTAACAGGGCGAGACTGCTGGAGATGTTCACTGATGTCACCTGCAACCCTGAGATCATGAAAAATGCCACAGATGCATACTTCTCCCTCCTCCAAGGTAATATGAAATCCAATCTTTGATTCATCTTTGTCTTGTAAGGGTGTTTATCTCCTTATATCGGAGGGGTTTGGTCTATCAGTCCAAACTAAATATTCAGTAAAAAAAAGTTTAAACTTACAGAAGTTTGTTCAATCCTGCTGGAGATCCCAAAATTAGCCCAAAGCAATTGTGATTTTTGAAGAAATATGCATAACATTATGTTATAAGATCTTAATTATTTCCATTTGATTGAACGGTAAAGCTTTAAAACATTCTCAACAGTCTCAGTACACATTCCTTTCAAAAAGATTCAGAAAGAGAAATGTGTTAATACTCCACATTAGATGGTTGATACCAAGCGTTTCATTGCCTAAAAAACAATTGCATACTTGTAATGTATTGTTAATGTTGTTATTCATATTTCTCTCCTTTTCCTTTCTAACAATGCATTCTGCAATTCTAACAATTGTTACTAGGTTTTGCCTAGCACATAACCAACAGCTTCTTGTTTTTTTAAATATTATTTTATAATACAATAGGCTTTATCACGGCCCTGGATGGAACAACACAGGAGAACAAGATGAGATTCATTCAGAACTTCAAGTGGACTGACACCTTACAAGGAAACACACCAAGGTATGAACACTGATTGAATACTTCCATTCTCATTGGATGGAAGCTTTCTTTTTAGTGTGTATGGTTGCAATTCAAAGAAAAAAGCTTTAAAAAACATATGAAGACTACACAGTATTTTTGAATCATAGCATTATTGACTTGTGTGAATAACCACCGTGTCCATGCCCTCCTCCCAGTGCCCAGCAGGATGCAGTCTTTGAACTGGTCTCCATGGCCTTCAATGTAGCCCTGTGGTACACCAAGTTTGCCTCGAGACTAGCAGGGAAAGAAAAGTATGTACTTTTTTTGTCTGTATTTATGTGTCTGTTGTCTACCCTATCTTTTTTATAACTTTCTGACTATGCTAACTTTTGTTTTGCCGTCTTATTTTCTTGTTCAATAGCGTGACAGAGGCTGAAGCGAAAGATGTTCACCGGAGCCTGAAAGTTGCTGCTGGTATATTCAAAACTCTCAAGGTAAGCAGTTGCAAACAAGTCAGGCCTTTCTAACTTTGTATAGAGCCATTCAGTCCTACTCTTTGTATTTGTTCATATCCATTATTTATATGGTATACATAGAAACTAAATTAACTTCTTTACTAATATTTGTACTTAAGCCTTTGAAAAAACATAATTTGCTTTGATTACTTTGTTAATTCAGAGACCAAAGCGAATTCAGAGAATTCCTGACAGTGAAGTACATTTTATTTAAATCCTCTTTAGTGACGCCAAAATGTTCATTTGCTAACACCCCATTAGTATAATGAGAGCTTTTCAAACTGTAAGTGGTCGTCTATTGGGTTGAAGCATGTAATGACAATGAGAATCACATGTCAGAACTTGCCTGAGAAAAAAATCACTGCCTTTTACTTTAAGTAGAAGTAAACAGGAACAGATAAAAGCTGATTTGCCAAATTTCCAATGGTGCCAATCTACTTATGTCAACAGATGCAACATAACGTTTTAGCCAACACGCACTCCGTGGTTATATGGGATCCCCTTTTTTTTAAATATAACTTTTAGCCGACAGTTTATAAGCCGACTTCATGCCAACCTAAGGTAGTAGGGGAATATATGTGGGTGTCGGGGGGTGACAGTGTCAGACTTTGAAAACCCCCAGTTTAAAATGAGCACAACGATTTTGCCACAGACCCTTTGCAAAAACAAAGGAATGCATGATATTGAATGCTGATTTTTAAATCCACAAATTCTCCGGCATTTCTGCTACAGGAGGTCCACATCCCTCGTCTCATCACTCCGGCTGAAAAGGGCAGAGACCTGGAGCCCAGAGCAATGGATACATACATCATCCAGTGCCAAGCGGAGGCACAAGAAGGTACAGAAGCCCCTAGAAATCTGCACTAGCAACTATAGTACTTTTACTCTTTAGCCCTGACAGTAGATACTCAGGCAATGATGAACAATACATCATAATGACTCCTTGTCAAATCCGAGATGTATTCATTTTCAATTTATTTCCTTTTTCATAGTGACAATTGCCAGAGCAATTGAACTGAAGCACAACGCAACACTCATCGCAGCGCTGGCATTTGAGACAGCAAACTTTTATCAAAAAGCTGGTATGTATTTTGGCATTACATGGGTTTACAGTTCTCAGGTACAGTTATGGTAACTTTAAAAAAGACAATCTAAGCTAGGGAAAGCCTGTAAAAGGGAAAGAGAAGGGTCCCTAAGATGGAGCCTTGATGAACTCAACTTATCATATGTGTCTGCTTAGAAGTGTAATTAGCTGTAGAAACAAAGTAAAGGTTATTTTATGAAGACAAATGCACATTGCCAAGCTTCACATAGGCTTACGTTGCAACAAAAATGACGGACGCTGATGCAGTGATGCACTTATGGCAAACTGGCAACTCAATCATGCTAATATTAAAACATTAAAAAAAAAAGTTGCCCTTAACAGGCTATTAAAGGTAATTATGTCTGTCCGCAGACCACACGTTGAACACCTTGGAGCCAGAATGCAGTGGCAAATGGAGGAAGTATCTTGAGCTGAAGCAGCACTTCTACATGGCTTATGTAAGTTCATGCTTATCCTGATTCACTTCACTACTTTTAGGCACAATAAACTTAGTCCGTGTACGTGCCTTCTATGATACTGTTCTTTACAAAGACAGGAAACAAATTGACTTTTTTTATTGAAATGTTATAATCATTGCTTGTGTTTGCAGGCTTATTGCTATAATGGGCAGACGCTGTTGGCGAGTGACAAGTGCGGTGAGGCTATAAGATCCCTCCAGGAGGCAGAAAAGTGTACGTATATCTTTGACTAGCGTTCAACCTTAAAAATGTTTTTAACCACATACTATATACATGTGTTAAAGTGCCTAAGTAACAAGCATTATAATTAGATAGCACCCTTAAACATTATTATATCCAAGAATTAAAAAAAGTAATGGAACAACACAAGTATTACAGAGGCCAATTGCACAATTAATTTATTACCTCATCAATAAACTTTTAGTAAGTAATTATGCTTCAAGCTCTTTTTATTTTTGTCTAAAAAATGTTTCGTTTATCTAATACACTCATTATGTCTTCTTACTAAAGGCACATTATTTAGATAAGGTTATACACACACTGTGTTTTTCCATTATGCACAGTGTATGTATGATATTAATGTGTAGTTGTGAGAAAATGGAGGCAAACAACTTCTATCTTTGACAACACAAGGTGTGTATCGTTTATTTACACAGCTAAAACACAAGAAACTTTAATCCCAACATTTTTTGTTACCATAGTAACACTGACGCTGTCAACTTTTACGTCATATTATGAGTCATATAAGATGATTGATGCTGTTTAACCACAGATAATGCTAAATTAATTCCTAAGACTCCGCTGCAAATGCATGTTTTGTTCATTTGTCTTTATTAGGTCCATTATACAAACTACACTCACTTTGGTTTAGTAACATGTAGTTTAAGCATAGTTTTTTTTTAGGTCATTACACTATTATTCCTGTGTTTTGTTGAAGTACTTTTGGACACAAAATAAGTAGTCATAGATTTGTATTTCTTGCTTCCATTATATTACATTACATTTCATTCAGCTGACACTTTTATCCAAATTGACTTACAATAAGCGCATTTAAAGGGGCCCTATTGTGCACATTTTAGCTTCATATTAGTATGTAGTGCCATACTGTGACATGTCTCCATTCTTTAATGTTCAAAAAGCTCTTTGTTTTTCTCATACTCCCTGTGCTGCAGCACCTCTTTTCACCCTCTGTCTGAAACCAGAGCCCAGTCTGCTCTGATTGGTTAGCTGGCAGGCTCTGTTGTGATTCGTCAACCGCTTAGAGATGTCCCGCCCCTTACCGTACAATGTGTTGGAGCGCTAGTCAATAGAAGCACACGTGTGATGTCACTATGT